TTACCGAATTGACCGACATTTCCCAACGTCTCGAAAGATGAAGTCGACCAGTTCGTTAGAGACGGGCACGTTTGGTGTGCAAAGATGGTGCGCTGGTTTGGATTCCGAGATCCAACTCAACCCCTCGAATCTATTTGCATGTGTAAAGGTCCGTATGCGACGTCTAATTACGAGAGGCTTTTGTTGGATCCCGTACCGAGTCCAGGACCGGGCTTCTAACCAGTCGAATGTTCGCAGAGCGGGTTTCTCCAAAAATAAGGCCATATTTTCTTCGTTTTTTGTATCGCCGTGCGACGATTATCGAAAAAAAAACTTACCTGGCGAAAAATATTTTGATTAATTGATTGTTTTTTTTATTAAAAAGATGTTTTTCCAGAACGTCGTTCCTTGAAAACTTTTTAATCAGGGTAAGATACTGTAGCAAGTGATGAAAAGTGAAAATTTCAATGTGCAAGGTTGATTTGAAATTATGTTCAGATGACAGCATTTCAGAGCAAGTTTTAAATATCGATTCCTACTGATACATAAATTGACTACTTGTTATTGGATTTTCATCCTATTTTCGTTAACTGGAAAAACGGCAAATTAAACAATGCATTCGTTGCTACAAAAACGTGTTAATCGGAAACAAGTTTATTTAACTGTTCAAAGCACGTCGAGATCTCGAGTACCTTGTGATATCTATTATCTCGTGTTGATGAAATGATTTATTATAAGTTAAAGTAATTAATATCTTCGTATTGTTTTCTACAAGCGTGTTTTCTCTTATATCGTCATAATTGTTTTATCATTATTGCAACGGCTGGAAAAAGTGATGATACCAAAACGATATAGTAGCCTTATTTCTGAAGAATTTTATGTGTTTTTAGAGGAAATCGCGATACGAGAGGGTACGCCTAGTATTCGGACGTAATAATTTAGAAAAAGACCATCTACCATTTCGAAGCTGCGATACTACCATGCTTCTGTGAACACGGCGATTTGCAGTAAGGATTGTTTCTTTCTCTTTTTTTTTTGCATGATTTTGGTAATTCTTGATTAAAATATATATGTAGGCAGTGCCCAATCGTCGACAACTTCGCTGGAGGGAGGACAGGGACGAATTTGGAAAACAGCAAGTAGGCAACGAGGTGTGATAAAAATCTTCAAAATATTCGTAACAAAAATAGTGCGTTTTTACTGCGGGAGCGGTTTCTCCTTTTTCTCAAGCCTTGTGCGTACGGCAATTTTGTTGTAAAAGCGGACCGTCTCCCGCTTATTCAATAATAAATGCATTTTTTCTTTTAAACTAAAATAGGTACCCCTTTTGAAAGCCCATTCCTATTTGATGGTCTCGACCCGCAATCTCGTGATATTAATTTCGTTTTTAAATGAATGTAACGATTAACGATTATTTCAGAATCGCGAGAAATTCAAAATGACTTCCATAAAAAACTTATGTTTTGCCTTTGCCTCGCTCGCAGCCCTTTTCTCGCTTTTTATCATTATCGCTAACGATAGACAAACTCGAAATTAACATCAAAAGGTTAGAAAAGTTAGAAAAATATCTTAAATTTTAAGAGACGCAGCAGAATTAAATCCACTTAATTTTGGGTCAAAACACATCAAAGGAAAACTATTCGAAGATCACAAAATGGAATGGCAATCATCGCGCATAAACGTCTCCTAATGCAGATCGAATCTGATTTCTCACTCCAATCTACAATAAAAAAACGCCGCGAAAGCGTTTAAAACTAAACGATTTTTTCCTGAACTACGTAGACAAAGCTATACTGAAACTACATTTCGGCCGATATTACTTTAGGTTGGGAAACAACTATCATACAAATGTTCGTTGTTGAGACTTTCTAACCTATCCTAAAAGAGATAATACTGCTATACGCCTAACACCGATTTATTAGTTATCTTTGTAATATGGTTCTAAACACTACGCCTATCATTTTGTATACTGTAGAATTACAGATAATTCTCAATGTAATGGTACAACAATTATAGCCCTTCAGAGTGTTTTACTAGATAATAATAACATAAATATAACAATAAAAATTTCTCTAATAGACCGATTCTTTTGCATTTTTGCTTCCCCTTACCTCATATACAGGGTGTTTAAAAATAATAAAAAAGAACTTAAGAAAGTGAATCATAGTTCAAAATTAAGGATATTTTTTTATATAAACGTAAGTAGCCAGCTGCGCTACAAATATGAATTAAAAAGGTTTTTTGTTATTATTTATTTATTTGGTTAAATTAGTCGTATTTTATATTCAAAGGAACATGTCAAAAAAAGCAACGTTTCATGTTTTATATTTTGTACGTGGAAACGGTAAGTTTAAAAAAAATTCTAGAGACAAACCTCTACTCATTCTAAAAAAGTGCGTTTTTATCATAGTGACACCATAAAATCAAAATAAAAAATAAATATTTTGAACAGTTTTTCGCAACCAGAAGAGATTAGCCTTCCAAACCAAAAATCTGTTTATTTTTCTTCCTTATCTGCCTATTCTATTTATGCGTTCAAATAATGACGTTTGAAGATAGGATCTTTAATGTGGGAAAACACCAAAAGTATCAAAAGTGCAAAACACACGTGAAACTCGTCATGTGCGGGTGTCACCAAGATGTAGCAAATGAGGAAGTCTTAAAAGGGGGTGGGTATGACAATTCAAGCCCTGTTGCTTCCAATGATTCTATTGTGCACATTTTTACATTCCCAGACTAGCGCTATGTCTAAGATTTCAAAACCACAGAAACTTCGGGTTTTTACCCGAGTTAATAAAGACTTAATTAAAGATGCAAGTGTTAAAGTCGATGTATTTGAACTTAACGTTCCTCAAACTCAAATGTGAGAAAATCCAGAATCAAGAACGCAGAAAAAAAATTGAATTGAAAACATTTCATTATTTTGATTTGGTAAAAGATGTGTATCCATATACATTGAAAACTTCATATAAACTTTTCTAATAATAGATTATTACTTCGTAATTTGTTAACATCACTAAATAATAAAGAAGGACTTTTATTTTATAATTAGTCTATCTACATTGTCCCGCTATATTGCTTTTAAGTGTCTAAATTGGTTATTACGATACGTTACAAACTGAACTCAACTGTTGATTTGAAACACGTCAACTGTGTGTAATTCCGAATTTCAAATTAATATAAATGGATCGTGATTGATAGCTCTGTAATAACGCGCTCGTTCTAAATTAATGGATGTTGCTTGTATCCCCTAATGTATTGATTTAACGAAAAATTGTTTTTGTTTTAGCTCCGAATGATATTTCCTGGATAATTAGAACGAGTACATTTGTTCGCTGTCTTTGTTCTCGTGTGCGCATAATGCCGCAAATACCGGAAAACATATGACCGAGTAATGTAAATTTCTAAAAGCGACATTAAATTGAAATGTCGATTTAATTTTAGATTTTACTGTTCGTTAAAGCGACGACTGCAACGTCAAACCAGTTTTAGAACTAGCTAAAAGTATTTAGTTAACGAAGATAGAAAGAAAAATAATATTCGAAAGTTGTATCGTTGTTCCATAAAATAATAATAGTTCTATAATATATTTACTTTAGTTTGATTGGAAAAATAGTTTACAGGCGCGCTTGAAGTCACGCAATTTTTATTAATATTCTAGAAATACTAATATTTAAATTTATTATTATTAAACGGTAACGACGATTTCAAATTAAACATGACGAATTTATCTTCACCACGCTTTGAAGTATCCTTGTGAAACGGATTTCGACAGAATATTTGCAATTAAAGCCTGGAACTATTCATAAATTGAGTAGGCAGCACTATTGGCAATGTACTGAGCAAAAATATTTTAAATATCATTATTTAAGCGAAGTTGTGTTAAGTAGTTATGTGAGACAATGCGATTACCAATGAAATTTTAATAGCACCAGATGGTTCACAAAAAAAATACGGAGATTTTTAAATATCTTCAATGAAAATACATTTTCTAAATTATTTACTTACTCAATATACCACATAAATATTATATTAAAAAACTTCAAGAGGAAGTTGTGGATTTCCGAAAATTTTAGATTTCTAATCGTCTTCCATCTTTTTTGGTTATTTAGTTATTTAAATCAAAATAGCAATGAAGATTTTCAATAAAAAATAAATACTATTTCTGTTAACCGGTTTGCTAGAAGACTATATAGAAAACAAACGTTCCACCTAAAATTATCATTGCTGAGGAATCTCTATTGGAGCAATAAAATTCCCGTTATAACTGGGAGAATCATAATTCGGATAGATTAGTTAGTTAGTTAGTCTGATGATAAACTAAAAGGGCCCACAAATATTACATCTATAATTTATAATCACGACCTTGTTTCATAGTGCTGAGAACGGGATTGCGGATAAGAATCAACCAAAATATTAATTGAAGTGTGCTGTGTAGCATAAAAGAGAGAAACTTGGAAAACAGAGAACGGTGAAAAGTATGCTTGTAGGTTGCAGTAGTCTTATATACATTTGGGTGAAGTATAGTAAAATATATTTTTTTGTGCAACGCGCTCCAAATTTAATTAGGGGCTCCGTGTCAAATTTAAAACTGCCGTATGTAGATGCGAATAATGAAATAAAGAAATTCATTTCACAAGAAAACTAAGCCATTGCGTGGGTTCGTTGGAAAACTGTGCAAAATTTAAAATATTAACGTTTTCTTTTTAATTATTTTCCGATTTATTTTAAATTGTTTTAAAAATCAAGGAAAGTAAAATTTTATCAATTTTTGTAGGTTATTAAGAAATTGCATATGTCGTCATTAGCACACGTTGCGCAGGGCGTTGCGTGTGTCAAACCTGCGCGCGACGTTCACAGAGGCATGGCATGCAGGGTGGCCGCTGCGGCGGCAGCCGCCATCCCCCCGTACACCCCCGCCAACGGATGGGGGTGATGGTGATCGATGGCGGGGAGGGACAGCAGGGGTGGCAGGGGTGTGTGGTGATGGTGGTGGTGATGCAAACTGGCCAAAGCATTACCTGTTGGGTAGGGCAGTCCGAAACTAGGGTAGCCCGAGTAACCGCGACCCGCAGCGTATGCCGCATATGCGGCCGCTGGAAAACCTGAAACGAAAAAAAAAACGAACAAATTAGTAAATAGCTTTTACAACAATGAAAAAGTCATATATTATGTGGAAACTAACACAGTAAATAAAAATTGTGGATAGGAGTGCAATGTTTTTTTCAGAAAAAGAAGTTGATTGTCACTGTTCGGGATTTCAAAAAAAAACTTTTTGTTTGCTGTTATCCTGAGGAGCAAAGATTTTCTTTAGGATGATAAGCATCTAGATAATATTTCTTTGCGACCCTTTAACTTACGTAAATTTTTCAAAACTGTAAACCGGGTAAGTAAAGACGGCAATATTACTCAGTAATATTGGGATGGCTGGGTCCCACACCCTTATCATGTGAGTACTTTTTTTTAGGATCAAGCTGATTTTTACTCAATTGTAATAAATATTAATAAAATTAGAGTTTCTAATTGTAAAAACTATTAAGTACACGTCACACATAAGCAAAAACTTGCTTTTTTTCTCATTTAGAAATGGAGCAATTAGCGAAAAGCCTATGATTGAAAACTGAGAATTATAATTTTTTTCAATCAATTTACATAATGAAAAACCCAATATATCAAACATTTGCACCCTATATAATTCATGAACTGGCTGTTTTCCTAGGTCTATGAGAAATCGATCTTTTTACGAGAGGTAGGTTGCTAGTCTCACCTTTCAACCCTATTCGTTTTATCCGGGCTCGGGACCGGCAGAGGCAGATAATAGGCTACCCAAATAATATCAACACCAGTAAGCTATAAGGCAGCTCAAAAACAGAAAATGTTTAGGCACCGATAACGTACCAAATGAGTTACTAAAATATGGGGAGAGGGGACGGAATTAGTAGAAGAAATCACTTGTACCAAATCATAAGCATAGATCCCTTCTAAGTTGAAAACGAGCAGAACCATTCCGGTATTCAAGAAAGGGCCAAGAAAGGATCCTAATAACCCTAGAGGACTAACCCTATTGTGCTCTCCATTGAAGCTATTTACAAAGACCTTAACGCAAAAGATATTTATCTGCTTTGTGGATTTGACAAAGCCCTTCGATAGACTAAATCTGCAAGACGTGATTCACATTCGACTTTAAACTAACATTGACTCCAAATATAATCAAAAAACTAAGTCACAGCTTAAGCCCACCGTCTTTAACGTCATAATGGATAAGATAATGAATAATGTGAAATTAATGAATGGCGGGTGACCAATGGGAAATAGCTCTCTGAAGATTCTCCGGGCGATGTAGTTCTTGCAGCGGAGAATGAAGATGACTTGCAATGAGTACTACATGAACTCGAGGAATCTGCAAAGAGATATGACATGATCATCTCCACTGAAAAGACACAAGCTATGGTGATTAGCAAAGAACCCATCCGGTGCAAGTTTGTTGTAAACGAGAAGATCATTGAACCAGTCATGACATTCAATTAATTAGGGGCCAGCATATCCAGCTCCAGAGATGTGAGATGTGCCGCGGACACAAGAGCCGACAACTCAAAAACAAAAAGAATACTCTGAACCGCGGCAATGAGAATACTGAGGAATATAAGAATAGTCACTCTAAGAGATTAGATGCGCTGCGAATCAATTAGAACAGAGCTAGATAGATTGGGATAGATTGGGTGAAGGCTACGCTATTGGAGATACCATGTGGACAGGATGAGGCCAATAAGATTAGCAAAATAGCCAACGACACAAAATACCAGCACAAGGTGACCACCAGGCAGATCCCTACAACCATGGACCACCAGGCAGATCCCTACAACGATAGCTGGATGTCGCTCTCACAAGAGGCACTAATAGCTAGATTAAACAGAGCACAGCCCTAGTCAAAGAAGAAGATAATTCATTAAATTCATTTGACTAAATAAATCAAACATTTGCATAACCCCTTCCAACAAAGTTTTAAGTTTTTAAAAATATTGATTCCACTAATATTTTAGTATGATTTTGTAAAGCCAAAGCCAAGCTATTTGATCTCAACGTACTAAATAGTTGAACTGAGGTGGCTTTTACTTGATGAAAATCCATTTATCAAAATAAATAAGAACTAAAAGTTCAGATTTTCACGAAAATATATATTATGACATGACAATTGTTTCGACAACACCGTGTCTTTATCAAATGTGATGATACATTTGATAAAGACTGAACTTTTAGTTCTTATTTATTTTGTACTAAATAGTCCTTGTTTCATTATAAAGAGAAATAGATATTTCGAACCCGAAAGGTAACATTGTTTTCGTTTAAATTGAAAGCGTAAGTAGGTTGCGAAAAAATGGCACATTTAACCAAATTTAAAATTATCACAATTAAATTAAAATGTTTTTAAGGAACAACATTTTATTTCGCCATCATCAATTTCGATTCCTTTCGTCAAATCTCCGGTTACAATAATTATTTTTTAATGAATTAAGGAAAGTTTTAAAAAGCTACGCTGCTTTTATCATGTTTTTGCCATCAGGACGAAACTTTAATAAACATGGCGGGAGAAAAGTTGTTCCTCCATCGTTTAGTATGAAAGGATCATTATTATTGGAGAAACCGATTTTTCAAAGTTTTTAATTTAAAATTTGCATCCCAGTTAAAGGTTGCCGCTGGAAATGTTCCTTAATAACGGCATGTATTTTTTTAAATCAACCAGACAAATAATTTGAACCGGGTCCATAAGCATTGACATTGAATTCGAAACCCTATATTCAAGTTAAATACTGCATCGATTTAAAAAGTTCACCATTTCTAGGCTGTTTTTCAATATTAAATTATTTTCATGTATAAGTTAAGTCTCAAAGTAAAGTTGAATTGATAGGTGGAACTTACGTATGTGCAGTTTTTAGTTTGCAAAACACTTGCAATTGACGATGACGATGTAAACCAGTCACTTTTACAAATTTGAATATCGTTGCTATGTTAAAAGATAGATATATAACTTAAAAAAACAACCACTTTTAGGACTGAGGTGGGAGTACTACAGATCTTTAGATCCAACCAATTTTGATTATTTATTTATAATCTTAATTAAACTAGTGTTTAATACACACTCCTCAGTAAAGGTGAAAGGTAATTTCAAGATGTTTTTTGTTTATACTGAACAAATACTTTTACTTAATTTAATGCTTTGAAATATAAGTTCTCCTCCTAATAAAGATATAGAGAAACTTTCTTTTCACACAACTTTGATATTTACAATTAATTAAATATCCTATCTTTTTCCTGAAACTGTCTTGCCCAACTGGGTAGTGACTTGGTATTTTATGTTAGTCTAAAATACCTCTTAGTTGGGGAAATATGTCTTGTGAAAAACGGATAAAAAATTACTCTCGTAGCTTTGAACACTTCGGCAATATTTAATTCTAAGAATTTGCATTTTCGCTTAAAACCATCTAACCACAGAAACGAAAACCTCGTGGGACTCCTAGGGAAAAAGGTTAAATTGTGTGAAAAAATTTAAAACGGCTGCCCTGTGTGACAGTGTTTAGACTTCATACTAGAAACGAACTTTATTTACACACAAAAAACATATCCCCGATCAATATCGATATATCAAGCCGTTTACCACATTCGTCTTAGAATATTCCACTGCACACCTTATCAATATAAGAAAAGGATAAAAATGAAAAACAAATAATTATTTGGCCTAAATATTTTTGAGTGGTTAATCTTGGAAACGCCTCGTCTACTAGAAAAAGTTAAAAAAAAAAATTCTGTTTTATACTATTATACTTTTATATTGTTTGTATATATTTATAGTATTTGAGAATTGACTTTGAATTGAATTGAATTTCGATCGTTTTTTTTTCCTACAAAACAAAGTACAAAGTACTCACCGTCTGGAAGAGCCCCCAGAGACCACATAAAATCTAAAAAGAGAATAAAATTCGTCTATTAGTAATCGTAGAAATGCGGCGGCATCGCGGCAACAACAACCAGATTACGAGAATGAAAAGAAAATCTATGTAAGTGAGCTAATTTCGAATTGTAATAATATGGCATTCATGAAATTTCAACTACGCGTCTAACATCTACACAAAGAGAGAAAATGTCGTTTTCAAAGAAAAACGCGTCAAGTCAAACAAACGAGCTGAATCGGTTAGCTATCACTTTGCTTCTTCGTTCCGTTATTCTGTTTAATTTATCAGCGTCTGCAACATTCGACTAAATCTACTGCCACGCACACTACATGTATGTTAAACAATTAAGTAACGACTGAAGATGATTGGCTGTTGGACTACATCTAAAATTGAAATCTATTCTAAACGTACGGTTCTTCGTTCACTATGAGGACGAAGAACCTATATTAAAACAAAACCCTTAAATGTAATTTACGTTAATACGAACTACTGATACAGACTATAAATTATAATTAGTGAACATTATTTATATAGCTCAAAAACATTGAACACTTTAAGCTAGCAAGTTAATATTTTAAAACAATGAAATGCTTACGTTACCTGTTACCGTTTCTCAACTATTTTACCTACAACATTATTTCTAATCTATGCGAAGAGTACAGGTTTATGTTCATTAGCTAGTTAGTCGAGTACACTATATTAATTTAAAGTTAAGGTAACTTAAGTACTTTAATTGTCTTATTGTATTTTCGGTTTCGCGAATTGCTCGCAAATAAATTCCACTTTGTTTCTCGAATATTTAATTCAATTCGTTGTTGGAGGCAGTCATTTGGTCTACCTAATTTAACAGTAAACCGACTTCAACTAATTTATTGAAGCAATGGTGGCAGACAAATTCAATAAGACAACACATAAAATCTACAATTTCATTATCAGTAAGACTCTGTTAAATCGAATTCAGTTTTTTTAAGTTAGCTTAGTTGTCCGTTGTAGGTCACCACGGATAATTACTTTTATACTATCGGTACGGATAATTATTGATGCTAATTCCAGTAAAATTCAATGAGCTTGACGGATTAAATAAAAAGAGATTCAAGAGATAAAAACCGCAGGATCAACGTGTTAACAAATTTTAATATTTAACTTCCTTCTTATTTTTAGCCTGATTTTGATGATTTTTTTTTAAATATTATTTCAATTTCCTACAAAGGCTCATTATGTAACATTCAAAAGAAACGAGATAACAAAAAGAATAAAAAAATGTGCAGGCAACGAAACGAACTTTGTATTTTATAGCAGAAGTTGGAAAATAATTTTGTTTTTCACGCATCTGAACGATTTCCTTCCTCATGTCAGGAAAATTGTCAAAATCGGGGTGAAATTTAAAAAGTTATTTAAGATTACAATTGGTAAGAATTCTGTCACTGTTCCTCCTGCATCTGCATATAGATTTTTCGAACTGACACTGCAGCAGACTGATTTAATCTAACAGAATCGCTAAAAAATTGCTGACATTTACAACTAAACTGGTCTAAGGAACACTATACAAAAGATTAGGTCGCACCTTTCAAGGGCTATGGCATTACATATATCAGGCCGGGTCGAACTCCCCAGAAGGACCAGGGCACGTACGCGCCGTGACCTGAAAATTTACGACTACTGCCCCGACTTTTTAAAAAATGTAATTGTTTTCTATACAAAACAATCCAAACTAAACCTAACTGATCGTATAACAAACGTAGCATTTGAAAATGCGAGCAAGATGGTGCTTAGATTTTTTTAATTCCCGCTCGCATTTTTACACAGTAAAGCTGATTTATAGACACGACTGAAATTTCATGAACGCAAGCTGCGTTGTACCAAGTTGTGGTGCGGTTTCGTTATCTTTTAATTTTCAAAACCACGTGACCGGCCAAGACGCCATCAGAAAGTCAGGGCTAACTACAAAGCTACCTTTTTGTAAAACTTTTTTGGGAAAATTGGATAGACGCTTTGCGGCCACTGAGTTGCAAGTTGAAAGGATCCTCTGAGCTATGAAATGTATTCAATATTGTGCACATAGATGCCTAAAAGAGTTTAACAAATTTTGTCAAAATATCAGTCGAAAAGAAATTGTTCGACCACAAAATGCTGATGCTTGTTTATCGGATAACTTAACGGACTTAATCAAAATTATAATCTCGGTTTACTTAATTGTGTTTTATTATCCAGTTCGGTCCTAAATAAACTAATTACGATCCATCAATCATCTATTCCGGCGCGATAAACTTCGCTAATTTGTTTTAAATTAAACTTTCTAGAACCGCTCCTTAAGATCGCTTGAAAAACTCACAACTTCGCCGACTCAATCCTTTTTTTTTTTCGCTGCTGTTATGGAAGACTCGACAAACAAAAACAACGCCACTTCCAACTCGTGCCTCGCGAAAGCGCTTCTCCGGCAACTTTTTTATCGTATTAAAATACTTCCTCCTACTAATTGACTAAAGTTCTGTTTCTGACTACTTACTACGTATAATTATAATCCCGCTAACAAATCGTTCCGCGCGAATTGATATGTTTACGAACAAAACACAACCCTCAACAATTAATCCAACCTCGTGGCATGTTTCGGACAGTTCATAATAACTCGACACCGTTTGTAAACAATTCCGAATTTAAGCAACGGCAATAAGACACAAAATGATTTGCCAAACTTTCCCTTTTGTTCGGTAATCACTTGTAGATAGTGAGAAACGTCGCGCGAAATTCAACAAACAAGACAGTATAAGGCTACAATTCTACACGCTACGATTAGCTATGCAGTCTTGGTTTTGTACTGTGCTAAACATAATTTATAGGCCTTTGAATCACAGTGGTTGGATGTGCTAACGTATATGAAACGTCTATTTACTATGTTACTATATTTACTATTTACTACGATGTGCAAGCTAAATTCTAACACCGCCTCGAGCATAAAAGACAACTGTGAACAACAACTGATAAACACATAAATGCCAAATTGTCATTGTCACGAAATATTAAATTCAAAGTCAAACTTTCAATGAACCAGCACTTTTTAGGGCATATATTAAAACAAGTTACAACGAACTGGATAGCAACAAAATTGCGAGATTGCGAAAAAACATAAATATGAAAAGAACGTAATTAAAATAATTGGATATCTCGTTTGAACATTCTTGGTGGGGGCCTTCTTTTTGTGCCTAATCGAATAATAAAATTATTCTTTTTAAACTACCGCCTCGTCGACGCTATCAAGTATTCATAAAATAAGAAATGAGATTTTTCCCAAATAGAATTTAAATATTATGAAAACTTCAAAAGGCAAAATTTAATTTGATTACGCGAAGAAAAAGGAGATATCGATCTCCCAACGAAATCATCTCTGGTCGCTTTCGCAAATTTATTTTATGAGTTAAATTAAAGTGCGATTTATAATTCCTATATTTTAAAGTTATTGGATATAGCCTTGTTTATTGGATTATTACTCTTACTTACTATTACTACGTGTTTCAGCAAAAATTTTGGGAGTTTTTCATATATCTAATTTGACTGTAGGTATAGTCGTACCGCTGATCTATCGAACTTAACGTAAATCCTCTAATATTCATAATTGATAATGTGAGAGAGATGTAAAGTTCGGATACATTTGCGGAGTTCAAATAATAACTAGACCCACGTAAAACGACCTGGATATTTACTAAATAATGATTGCAATAGACAGCTATTTCCCGGATAATTTTTGTTTTTGAAGTTTAGTTAGTCGTTTCTATCGTTTGGGACAAGAAGTTATTTATTAAGTATGCACGCTACCTATGAGATGTTTCGACTGTGGCAAGATGAACCCATCACTGAACCCAGTCGTGTCGGTCCCTACCTTAATTTGTCATGCTACCCATAATGAATGATAGGTCCTTACTATGAGGCTATTATTCAAAGTTTTTCCTCCCAAGTTAGTTAGGAGGTGTAGATTGTACTTTTAACTTCATATTACAATTTGGAATTCGGAAACCTTCCAAGAACTGCTATTTTATGACTCGTCTATCAGTCAAACGCTGTCAGAGTGAAAATATTAAATAAACCCATTTCTTTTCCTTTACATTAAACGGTCCTCTAACTTCGAGGGAATGAGTTGTTTGACAAAAGAATATTCAAAACATATTTAGATGAACATTTGACTGTAATTTTCTGTTGTGTGTGTTCTGTGTGCTGTGAGTGTAACACCTATAATCCGAACACACTCCCAGTATTCCGGACACTAATTTTTAAAAGTCATAATCGTGTCATGTCGGTTGCTAGTAAAGTTAGTATTGAAAATTCTGCCGTCTCAGATATATTTAATAATCGACACAAGGGACTATGCAGCTGAGGATCGCAATTTAGAAAAAGGAAAGCCCCAAGGTTAAGCTCGTATCCTGCAATGGAAGTTAATTTTTGTAAAGAATTACTTTTGGATTAAATAATAAACATTTTATGAATTTTCTGGGTTTTCTTTGTGTCATAAAATTACTATTCGGTACTAGATGTGTCCAAAAACTGCTACGCTTAACTGCAATTTATTGACCTCTTTTCTGAAGTAGTTTCTAGAGCACAGTTTTTCAGATTGTGCCGACTTATTTTCATTCTCTAACGAAGACTTTCAGAAAAAAAAGTTAAAAAGAGAAAAAGTCGGTAAACACTAAACTAGGCATTTAGACGGTTATCTACCAGTTCACTTAAAAAAACAACTATAAGTTGCATGCAGAATTTTTAAGTATGCCATTGCAAGCCCGACTTAATACATAATTTAGATCAGCTAAGGTAACTAGATTCCAATTTTGCCACAAAAGCTGATACCAAGCAGAAATATCAACGGTTATAATTTGGAATGTCTATTGCATCCGGGTTTCCGAATCGTACAAAAAGGTAGCTTAGAGCCCCAACCCCGCGGGTGTAGTGTAAATCGCGGATATATCCAATCCCTGAACGCCCAGCAAATCGCTCATGCTGTAGGTAAGCGTAGGTGGTCCGCGAGCAGTAAGAGGCCTTAAACTTGGCGCCGTGGCAAATAGTCTTTTGCAGCCGGTCACGTCGTATAACGCATGCGTGGTGGCGTAATGCAGCGGGGTTGTGGCCGGTGCCACGGCGATAGCGGCAAGCGGCACGGTAGCCGATGGTCCATGGTGGACGGCCGCTGCCGCAGCGGTCGGCAGCGTGGCAACGCCGTGCGGCAACGAGTACGGTGCGTAGCGGAGAGCGGAAGCGGCAGATGTTGCTGCCGCGGCCGCTGCGGCTGCCGCAGCGGTCGGGTTCAAGACGAGCAACTCACCGTATGCGCCGCGACCCGCTGCGCGGGTCTTGGCCAAGTTGGCGGGGAGCATCACTTCTTTCGGCTGCGCTTTCTTGCACTCCACCTGAAACGGAATATTTATGTGATATTAATCATGCCAAAGAATAAACTCAAACTTCATCTTCAAAGTTAATTTTCTAGCGCAGTTCTGATTCGATTTGGATATCTATGTTTTCAAATTGTACTTTAAAACTTCAGAAACCAAAACATTTTCATTTAAACTGAAGTTATAGTCATATACAGACCGCGTAAAGAAAAACCACTTTTACACTCAATCATCATAGTCATCTTGGTTCATATTCACGTCTTTATATCTGTCATTAAATTAAATACGGAACTTAATATGAAACGAGTAAGTTTTCCCGATGAAAAGACAAGTTTTATAATGCCCGACCACATTATGCAGGAATAGTACAAAATTATTTAAATGACACTTTGAATTGGCCTCCACGCAGTCCATATCTTAACCCATTTAGGGGTAGGCAGAGTGAGATCATCAACCCCCACCTACCTCCTTGGATGATGTAGAAATATGGACTAAACGTAAATTAAACATCTAGTTGGCAGTATGAGTCAGTCTATCAATCGGGAAAGAAACACCCGTTTTTTGTAATATATTATAATTGTTACGTTTGATAACAAATTCAACATTTCATTAAATAAGTGACATAAAAACGTCAATTAGGAAACAAAATTATGTGAATATATGCCATGCATTGAATTAGACGGACAGCTAATAATAATGAAAATTTCAACAGAATGTGACAAATAAACATGAAACTGTTTATATTCATACACTCTGTAAATGCCTAAAACATAAATTTAAATATAAATGTATTTTATAATATGGCTTCGGACGATTTAAGCTTCCATTTAACGAAATAAATATCAAAACGAACAGTTCTGGAGATTATTAACTTTGGAATTGAATCAAATGTAGTGGGGCGTTAATTAACATGGCGATATCAATGGCCCAATTGTTAAATCAAGAAGGTCTGTCTATAAATTTTATAATAAGTTTATGAACAAAAAATTGTCTATATCAAATCTATATCACATTACACTATAAAGTTTTGTGGCGTCATCGGTATAATATGCGGTATACATATTGTTCCAATATATATATTAAAAGCTTTATTTTAAAAAGAAAGACGTTTCCCAACTAACGCTATTTATTGAAAATATTCAAAATATTGTCATTTTATATTTCTATAACAAATAACCACTACTTAGTACAAGTACAGCACTCAAATTTAAAATACGTAGAGTTTCTAAATTTTTTACTCTTAGGACTAGGGGACTGTCATAGAGCGACTTATTAAAAATATTAAGTTTCCCTCACTGTTACATCATAAAAGGTGCCTTTCGTTTTAATTTTTGCATAAGTCATTAGTTGTTGTTGCTGTGCCTACTGAATTTTCATGTTCCTTCAAGAACTGCAAGTGAGCAGTAACCAGTAACCCCAATGGTCTTCTCTATCAGTTAGTTTAATTCTACGGTGTGTATTATGTGCTTTTACTATTATTTGGCTGGAGAAAATATAGTTGAGTTATAGTTTGTAAATGTTAGTAGAAAAATTTTCTTCCAAGTATTGTAACATCTCTCTGTTTCATCGTAAACATAAAAATTTTAATATAAAAGTTGACTATACATACCAAACTAGACAAGTATCAAATTAGAAGGTTCCCTATAAGGACGGCTAACCATATATTTCCTACGAGTTGGTCTCCAAATTAATATCACTGTCTGCCAATTGTCATATGAAAATTCTCTGACTACTCATAAAACATCTTCCAAACAATTTAAGTTAGTTATTTTCATAAATTATGAGACCTTTGTCGATTTAATATAACTCTCTATGCTCTACTGTGTATCAGATATTCCGCTGTGTCATGATCGTTTTACATTTAATTTCTTTTATCGTCTTTTTTCTTAGTACTTGTAGGAGAATTTGTGTTCGGTTTCAAAAATTTAAGATTAAATTTAATAACTAAGATCCTTGTACATAGACATTTTTTATATCTAGTGTAAGTATGTATAGAATGTGTATAGAAATGTATACATAAAATAAGTAAATATTAAATAAGTTTTTGATCCCATACTTAAAATTTCAAAAGGATACAGAGAGCCTCGCGCGATGAATGATGTGTGATATATAAATGTTAATTTGTATGAGCAACTCCCTGATCATTACTACTTGGCGATCGAGCTAAATGACAGGTTCAAAATAAACCATCTATAAGTTTATTACTCTGTTACTCGTTGTGCTTCAACTATTCATATTGTTGCCAATTTTCCATTTACTTAGCAACTAAACCATTGTTTACTCACGGAACACAATTCCATGGCCGCTATATAAATCACAATACCTCTCACGTGGCACTTACACGCACCTTGGTCACGTGTACTAAGCTGCAGTGTTTTCGCCATTTAGAGACCTATTAAACAGTCTTTATTTAGCAGGTTTACTTTACAGTGTGGGCCAAACAAAATGGAGTTGAATACCTTAACTGGGCTCTAATTTGGATCCAAATATCTGAATAGCTGATGATTTATATTTTAAAAATCCATTATACAGAGTAGACCGAAAAGTTTTATTTATTATTTTTTTAATAGGACATATTGTATTTAAAAGATTAAATGACATCGTCATTATAAACATTGTACGATTAAAGTTTACAGATATATGCGATTGAATTTTGTACCTACAATATACACATTTTTGGATGCTTGAGCAGCCCTACCACCACCCTACCACAATTTTTTTTAAGATTAAAAATTTAACATCCTAATAATTTGATCCACTGCTACATCTTTTCGGCTTCCAGAATCGAGATTGTAAACTGAAGGACTGGGACTCCCCGATTGTGTGTTAAAATAGTAATCTGTTAAAACTTCTATTTGTTTGCAATATTTTCTCCAGAACACAAACACTAAGCAGTGACATTGTTTTAATAGCCCAAATCCATCTGTTGTCGCGTTATTGAAAAGATCATATGCTTAGACTTGGTCTCGTTCATCATCAGCTCGTTTACACTTGACACTCAATAACAAATAATTCTATAGAACTAGGAATTATTTCTGGGTTCTATACAGATTGTGAAAAATATGTTTTTTTACTCCCTTCTGTAAAATACCCAATTATACACCGATCGAGCGTGCGAAAAGTGTCATTTTACTGCGTGATTTTCGTTTGCTACGGCTGCGAGCCACTTCGGACATTTTCGGGATATTACCACACGGGTTTATACTAACTGCTTGAATTTTAACGTTTCTCAATTCTGACAGTCAGAAAATATATAGTATGCAACACCTTTGGCAAACTTTTTAAGTCAGTCCTTGATTAAGCACTTGCTCACAATGCCGATCATCACACTTGTTGCATAATATACTATTATAAAAACATATTATTTAAATACATACTATAATGCCGGGATATTGTTTTGATCAACATCAGGTACCCGGAAGATACGTCTCTGTAATATCTGTATTAATATTTTATCTCGATTGTTTTGAAGAGAGAAAGAGTGTTTTTTCATTCCTTTTTATTATCATCATTTCGAAGTATAAGAGCCCAATATCGTTTAAGTTTAATGAAGCTTTAAAGCACCAAAACTAAAGTGAAAAAAAAGTACGGGAAACATTTAAACGGTTTTTTAAAAGCAAAATGATAAGTTTCTAGGTCAGGCTTGTTCGTTCCGAAAATGTATACAGTCATATTGAACGCAATTAATACAACTTTCTGAAAAACATTTAAAAGTAGATAAATAGAAGAGGGTTCCAACATTAATATAATAATATAAAAATAGTATAAAAAAATATTTTACGGCCTGGTGCATGTTTTGCGAAAACCAGTCTTTTTCTTTGCGGATACTTTTATTCTTCTGTTAATATAAAATATCGTCAAACGAGGTGACTAACTATCTAACTGATGAACTAAAATCATTAGACCGGAACTAGAAATTTTGAACGAAATTTTGGATATTTTCAGAAAACCTCAACGTATTTTGGGGAGTTTCGGGAATTATCGCGGAATTTCAGATGTATTGTGAGTAAGTTTTTAGGATTACACACATTGTCGTCTTTGTTGCCGTTACTGTGATACGCTTAAGGACAAACGAAGCTTTGGTGTAAACTAGGCTTAATAAAACGTCACGCGGTTAAAAAGAACCGCGCGGCTAAAAAGAACACTACGTCACGCGAAAACGCAAAATACGCGGGAATGAAACATGACGAGATATCTATACTGCCGCCTGACACCGTATTTAAAACGGAATTTAATTAGAATTTGGTCACACGAGGGGGTAGACTCACGGGGAGACGAAATATACGTTACCTCGAGGACCGTAATTGGGACGCAATGGTCATGTAAAATGTCTTTAATTTCGATTCCGTTATCTTGCCTTGGAGTAATTAAATTATAAAGTTTATCGCGCGGCTGAGGATTATTAAAGCACCGCCTTTAATTATTCAGCTGTTTCGGATTTTATTAATTCTGGGGATGCAACTTTCAAACGGCCGCTGTCGCGGGGAAATGGCGCAGGCGGAGGGTCCACGGTTGAGAATTTAAACGAGAGTAATTTATTTTCGAAATTTTTCGTTGAGGAGGGGCTGTAGGGTGAACGTTGGCGAGCAGCTCGCTTTCTCGATCTCCGCGGTCTGAGAAATTTTAATTAATAAGCCCTGCGATCCACGAAGATAACTCTAAATAAATAAACTCGAAGTCAGAAGACGAGAGGGCCTTCTCTCGGACTGGTGTGATGAGACAGAGGGTCTTGGAATAATCAAAGCGATATATTTTAGGGGACGATTCGTTCTTGGAAACAAATGGCAGTCTGTCAAGGCAAGTATTTGTTCAAAAGTCGACAATTGAGAGCGGATATTTTGCAGTTACCATTAAAAATTTAGAGCAAAAATTTGCCCAGTTTCTGGGAATGATTACTTAATAATGTTTATTGGGTGCACGTAACGTAACGTAATTACTGTTATTACTATTAAAAATTTAAAAAAAAAATCGAAAATGCAAAACAAAACTTCTAAAATGGCGTCATAGGCCAGCAAAAA